GCATGCTCCAGGCTCCAGAGGCAAAGTTTATGTTGTATGGCTTTTGACAGGGATGTTGTGGGGGGTGTTGCCATGGGTGTCGTTATGGATCCAGATTGGCTGCCAGTCGGGCCAGGGAGGGGGTGTTTATTCCTCAATCAGAGCTTGCTTCTGTAGGGGCCATAGCGGATTCATATGGTTAGGTTAGGTTTGTCGCCGATTTTCGCTGCACGCCCGGGTGCCTGGGGGTGCCCGGGGGGGCCAGGGGGCCGGGGGGGCCAGGGGGCCCGGGTGCCCGGGTGCCCGGGCGTGCCCGGGGATGCCCTATAGCCCTATAGCCCTAAGCACTATAGCCCAATAACCCAACAGCCCTACAATTCTATAGCCCTATAGCTCTATAAACATATAGCTCAATAGCCCTATAGCCCCCTAGCCCTATAACCCTGATTGGGTGTTTTCTCCGGTATCATTCCAATGAGAAAGAATGGTAGGCCCCTCCCCGAAGGCGAAGCAGGGGAGTTGGAAGAGGCAATTTGCTAGACCATTCACGCCCAGCGGGCTCGGGGATTAGAAAGCGTGCGGAGGAACCGCTTCTGACCTCCTCCACCCAGAGGGCGCGCGGTCGTTTTGCAGGGTATTTCAGGGTGGTTTGCAGGGTATCGCATGGTACTGCAGGGGTTTGGTTTGCAGGGTCGTTTTCCAAGGTATTGCAGGGTGTTGCAGGGTCAGCACGGAATCTTTGCACCCCTCTTTTGCAGAATATTGCAGGGGGTGCGGCGAGGTCCAGGGGAGAGGGTAGGGAGAGGGGTTTTTGGAAAGCTACCAGAGGAAACGCCGCAGACCACCTCCGCCCAGAGGACAGGTGGGATTTGCCATCGGTAATCGATGAACGCGCTGCTATTGTTGACGCTTCACATATCCCCACCAGCCCATCCAGAAACGATGCCCAGGAGAGTTGAGATGATACGAGAAGTGGGGGAGCACGCAGAAGGACAAAGGGCGGGGGACGCCGTCATATACCGCAGGAGGGGGAGGATGGAGGAGGAATCGTCGTCGTCGAAGGAGGAGGAGGAGGAGGAGGAGGAGGAGGAGGAGGAGGCGGAGTAGGGCGAGGACGAGGAGGACGAGAAGGAGGAGAAGGAGGGAGAGTTGGGTACCTCGGAGATCCTCCTGGGGCCTCGTATAGGGTCTCTCGGGAGCCTCTTGGAGGCATCTTCGGGCTGCCTGAGCGCCTCTTGGGGCCCTCCTGGGCCGCTCTTGGGAGCTTTAGGGGCGCTGTTGGGGCCATCTTGGAGGACATCGATCACAAAAAGGTGAGCTTCAATTTGCCTCCCCCCTTGGGAGCACCGACGATCGCCTCCTGGACCTCTCTTGGATCGCTCTTGGGGCGCTCTTGGGGCCGTCCTGGGGCTCTCTGGGCCTTTCCTGGGGCTCTCCTGGGCCATTTTGGATGCACCTTGAGGCTTCGGATGGCCATCAAAAGCGAAAAGGCGAGAAGGCAAAAATCATTCATTTTCTTTTGGTGTTTGAAGGAGTTTGGCTTCTTGGGGGCCTCTTTGGAGGTCTCGGAAGCCTCTTGGAGCAGTCTTGGAACGTTTTGGGGGCTTCTTGAAATCAGATCGTCGTTGTCCTTCGGTCTGGCCAGCCCGCGCGCCGGCTCCGCTCGGGAAGAGGGACGAGGAGGAGGAGGAGGGAACGAGGAGGGAGACAGGGAGGTGAGGGCAGGATCAACGAGGGGGGAGGCAGGAGGGAGGGAGGGAGGAAGCCTGGCAAAGGGAACGGGGAGGGAGGAGGGGCGGGGGGGGGGCAAGAGGGAGAGAGGAGGAAGGGAGGCTCCTCCTCCTCTTCCTCTTTCTCCTCCTCCTCCTCCTTTTCCTCCTCCTCCTCCTCCTCCGATTTTCGTTTTCCGGTTTCCGTTTTCCGGTTTCCGCTTTCCGTTTTCCGTTTTCCGTTTTCCGCTTTCCGTTTTCCGGTTTCCGTTTTACGGTTTCCGGTTTCCGTTTTCCGTTTTCCATTTTCCGCTTTGCGTTTTCCGGTTTCCGTTTTCCGGTTCCGGTTTCCGGTTTCCGTTTTCCGTTTTCCGGTTCCGGTGCTCTCCCGTGGGCACCCGCGTCCTTCTACGCCATTTTCCGTTTTCCGTTTTCCGTTTTCCGATTCCGGTGGTCTGCCGTCGGCTCCCGGCTCCCTCTTCGCTGCCGGTTTCTGCTTTCCGTTTTCCGGTTTCCGGTTCTGGTCTCCGTTTTCCGTTTCCCGTTTTCCCGTTCCGGTGCTTCCCCGTGGTCCCTCGCGTCTTTCTGCGCCGTTTTCCTTTTTCCGTTTTCCGTTTTCCGATTCCGGTGGTCTCCCGTCGGCCTCCGCTTCTTTCTTCGCTGTTTTCCGTTTTCCCCTTTCCGGTTTCCCGTTTCCGTTTTCTGGTTCCGGTTTCCGCTTTCCGTTTTCCGTTTTCCGCTCCCGGTGCTCTCCCGTCACCCCCCGCGTCTTTCTTCTCCGTTTTCCGTTTTCCCTTTTCCGTTTTCCGATTCTTGTCGTCTGCCGTCGGCTTCCGCTTCTTTCTTCGCTGTTTTCCGTTTTCCGGTTTCCGTTTTCCGGTTTCCGTTTTCCGGTTCCGGTTTCCGCTCCCCCTCCGGCCCAGCGGAACCATCTCCGGTGATGACCTCCCGACAGGGCAATCCCACCCCCCAAACCGACAACAGAACTTTCCCTCGTCGGCTAACTCTCCAGGGTTCCGAGCACGCCTGGCGGAGGAGGGGGAAGAGGAGGAGGAGGAGGAAGAATGAGAATAATAAGCTGTATCCTCTTCACAGACAAGCACTAGCTCGTTGTATCGCAAATCGTGGGCTTCTGCTTCCGAGAGAAATCGCATACTTGTTGACCATGCGGTCTTCGATTTGGAAGTCGGAAGTAATTTTTTTCGGTATGGTAATTGTGCTGTCGAGATTTCGAGATTTCGAGGATTGATGTGCCGAACGCTGAGGTGATGCTTTCAAAAACCGTGTAATAGTATTGCCCCGTTGTCCCGCATCGTCGTCGTGACCCTGCTTCTCGTTACCCCAGCGTAGATCAGCAATGGATCGCCGCGTCTACAGGTGCGACGTCCACGATAAATTAATCCGACAGAAGGACCCCACATGAGAATCCTCTGGGCGAATCTGGAAAAAGCGCTCACCGTCGTCCTCGTGGTTGGTGAGGCGTCCTGACTGTCTCTTCTGCGTATATTTCTTCTCGCCCTGGCGCGGGCCCTCCCCCCGCTCCCTACGTTGCCCCCCGACCTCGCCCTCCTGTTTTTTTCGAGCCCTGCCACCGCCTCGCCTTTCCATTGCACGAGCGCGCATGTCGGTTTTCCTCGGCGCCGTCGCCGCCTCGGCCAGCACAGGCGCGTTCTCTAATGGCCACGTCGCGCAGCCGTTGGGACAACCCCGCGGGCCAGGCTGTCGGGACAACCCCGCGAGCCGCTTGCGCGCAAGACCAAGCCGTTGGGACAACCCCGCGGGCTTCGAGCGGGGCGCAGCCGCGCTCAGGCGGGCAGCACGAAGCCCAGCTCTGCCGCGAGCTGCTTCGCCTCCGCCCTGGACAAAACCGCTCTCTTGTCGAACTCCAGGAGCGCCTTCCGCAAGGACGCTGGCGGCCCTCGCTCCAGGAACTCCCGCGGCGGCGGCCGCAGGATCAGCATGTTCCGCATGCACGTGGCGCGGGAGAGCATGACGTAGAGGTGCACCCACCACTGCTCGTCAGACATGCCCGTGCGGCCAGCGTCCTCGTCTCTCGCGCAGTCGATGGTGACGCCCTTGCGCAGCGTCTGGACCCAAAAGTGACGACAGGCATACGAATTCCGAGGGCCCTCCTCGGATTCGAAATTCACAAATGTGGCCCGGGAATGGCGCTCTGGGAACACGACGTACACAAAGTGGCCTACAGCTGGCTCCAGACATCCAGAATGTGGCCCGGGAATGGTGTTCTGGGAACAGGAAGAACACGAAGTGGCCTACAGTTGGCTCCGGGGTTTCAAAATGTGGCCCGGGAATGGTGTTCTGGGAACACGAAGAACACGAAGTGGCCTACAGTTGGCTCCGGGCATGCACAATGTGGCCCGGGAGCGGCGTTCTGGCAGCGCGAGAGCCCAAAAGTGACGATAGTTACAGGGTTTGGATGACCCGCTCGGATTACCAACATGATCTGCGGGCCTCATAGGGAGGGGGCTCCCGCCTGAGACTTCCTCACAATTCACTCACAGACGAGGCTCTCGCCTGAGACTTCCTCCAAATTCAGGCCTGAAGAGCCCAAAAGTGAGGACAGTTACAGGGTTTGGATGACCCGCTCGGATTACCAACATGAAGCGCGGGCCCCATAGGGAGGGGTTCCCGCTTGTGACTTCCTCGCAATTCACTCACAGACGAGGCTCCCGCCTGAGACTTCCTCCGTACTCAAGCTTGAGGAGCCCAAAAGTGACGACAGTTACAGGGTTTGGATGGCCCGCTCGGATTACCAACATGATCTGCGGGCCCCATAGGGAGGGGGCTCCCGCCTGAGACTTCCTCACAATTCACTCACAGACAAACTCCCGCCTGAGACTTCCTCCAGGTGAGTATGTGAATGAGTGAGCGTGTGACAGAGTGCGAGTGATGATGATGATGATGATGATGATGATGAGTATGTGAGGGACTGAGCGTGTGAGAGAGCGCGAGTGATGATGCTGATGTTGATGATGAGAGAGTGTGAGTGAGTGCGAGTGTGAGTGAGTGGTGATGATGATGAGTGAGTGAGTGAGTGTGCGAAGGCAGAAGAGGAGAGGGGGTGGGGTGAGTGTTCCTGCGCGGGGTGTGCAGAGAAAACAAGAACCCCACCTTGGATGTGGGGAACAAAAACATTACTGTAGATCGGAACGCAGCGGCACACGATCAACGATTACAACGGGCCCAGGCGACAGCGGCACAGTCCCTAGCGAGAGGACAGGCAAGAAGAACAGCACAAGCAGAGAGCCTACAGTACGCAGCCGCCTCTTCCCCCCCCCCATCCACTCCCAGGAACAGGCCGAGCGCGACGCGAAGCAGCTCACCGAGATATCTGTAGAAGGCCCGAAGGCCGTTCGTGCCCTGGCGAATCAGCTGCACCGGCGGTAGTTTCTGCACCTCGCCCACCGTTCTTTCCCCCCTCCAAAGCTTGTTGTTTGTTGTGTTAATCGTCTAAGTTGTGCCCTCCTTCCCCGCTGCCATCCTCGCACTCATCATCTTTATCATCGTCCTCGTCATCATCGTGCTCGTTCTCATCCTCCCCATCCAGTCGTCGTCTTCCTGATGTCTTCCGTCCGTTGCAGTGCCTTCTGCCTCCCCCAATCACTGCACCTTTGTTATCCCTCGTCTCACCATCAATTTTCCGTTGGTCTTTCCATCTCTCTCTCTCTGTCTTTATCGCTCTCTCTCTCTCTCTCTCTCTCTCCTACGTATTGCTCTTTATGTTTGCTCTCTCTCTCTCTCTTTTTGTTCTCTCTCTCTCTCTCTCTCTCGATATATATATATATATATATATATTATATATATATACATATACATATATATATATATATATATATATATATATATATATCGATATGGTGTTTGTTTTGTTTTTTTTCTCTCTCTCTCTCTCTGGGGCCATCTCGGGGTGGGAGGCTCGGAGTGTCAGTTCGAGTTCCCCCTCTTGGGCCTCTCTTGGGATCGTCTCGGGGGTCTCTTGGGCTCAGTTGGGGTTGGCTTGGGCTGCATTGGGGCAATATTATCTTGCACAGTTGTGCTCTAGAGCTCGGACCTTTTTGTTTTCGTGGTTCGTGGTTCGTGGTTCGTCGTCGGCTTCTCTTGGCCCTGGCCTCAGCTTCCCCTCGCTCCCCCCTGGGTTCTGGACCTGGCCCTGGCCTCAGCCCCCCTCGCCCCTGGCTCCGGCCCCGTTGGCACTGGCCTCAGCCCCCCTCGCCCCGGACCCTTCATTTTCGTGGTTCGTGGTTCGTGGTTCGTCGTCGTCCTCGCCCCACCCTCGCTCTGGCCCTCTCCGTTTGCCACGAGTTGTTCAAATCTACAAGTCGAGAAGACTATTCAACTGCTTGTGGACTAGTAAGTCAGCTGATGGCTAACGCAGCATGCGGCGGCATGAAAACATTCGGCGTTGGATTAAACATTCCAGAGGAGACAGCAAATCCTTGCAGACATGGATAGGCAAGTTACCAATCTGAAGTTGCAGTTGATCACAGAAAAGCCAACTCAAGTTTGATGCGCCCGCGTTGACCGAAAGCCCTGATTTGCCCATTTACCCATTCCCACATGGGAACATGAATCAAAAAACGAGTGGGTGCTGAATTGCATTCTAGATTGGAGTGGGAAGTCTGAGGGCACTGCAGAAAATATCACCAAGCAGCTTTAAATTGTTTTCCATGGTATTCGCGAGTGGAGTGACGGATGGGGCGGCGGTTAGTTACAATGGCCACGTGGAAGGGTTGAAAGCAAAAGAATTGCAGGCTGGCAACTACAACGACTTACCGCGTTCATCCGGTCCTTCGAGCTCGTGGCAAGTAGCGCGCACCGTGCAGTCGGCGATTGTGCCCGCCGGAGATACGTGGCATGCAATCAAACACATTATGTTCGACCAACAGCAAAAGCTGGTCAAAGTGCAGGAAGGGCTGGCGCGCGGCTCCGCACACTGCCGCAGCTGGTGGCCTCGCGACCCTTGAAGCTCGAAAAAAGATATTCCAGAAGATATTCGAAGGGCTTGGTTGGTTCCAGATTCGGCGCGGCAAGTGGCCAGGAGATAATGGCGAACAGAAGGTCGTTGATTTCAACAACATATCAGCTGGATATGCGCTTGTGCGAAAGATGTGGCCGTCCTCAAGCAGCGAAGGGCAATTCGCAGAGTGGGTCGACGTTTGGACCAGAAAACCAGAAAGGCAAATCTTGGATTAGCCAGAAGCAAAGTACAGATCGCTTCTAGAATGTTGTGCGAGAGGCGCGTCTACGGCCAGAGCGATTGACTTCAATTTCACCACCTTCAAGGAATTGGAACCGCGGTTCTTAGACTTGGCGCTGGCATATAAGATTGCGACGCATAAGGATCATGGAGTTCTATGGATCGGAATCTCGGAATGCGGCAAGAGCTTGCGTTCAAGGACACACGGTTCCATGCTGTCCAATCATTGGATAACGGCAGAAAAACAAGGTGGCATGCAACCTGCGGCGGCGCCTGCCAAATTTCTTGATCTGTTCAGAGGCGAACGAAACATTATGTTCAAGCCGTGTATATTTGATGACTGGAAGTTCTATCAGTTCGGCGCCGATATTGCGCGAGCTTTGCTGTGCCCCAGACGCCCTCGCATGCGCCGAGCGGGGCGGATCTGGCTTAGACGCGCAGTCGCGCCGCCAGGCATCAAGCCGACAGCGCGACAGCAAATTGGCAAAGAATTTTGCACGGAAAGATTCACTCTCCGACGAGGAGTGGCAGATGTTTATGATGCCGTCAGTCGATGACGAAGCAGACGAAGAGGACTGGGTAGCATGCAGGCGTCGTTTCCACGCCACCTTCAGCACTCGCGATGGCATCATCCACCGCAATGCTACCAATGAGTAAGTGGACGCCCCCGTCATCCACTGGTCGGACGGCGAAGAGATGGATACATTCAAACCAGAAATGAAATTCATTATGCAGAAATGGAAAAATGGACAACGGAAGGAGGTCCGCCGAATTACCACGACGATGTAAAGTGGTCTTTGGATTTTTCGAGCCAGGCTGTGAAGGGCGAGCCGATTCGCCATTCGAGAACGATCGGGCCTTCACCTGCACAGGGTGCCAGAGGGTTATTCAATGGTACATCAATGGCTTCTCAGTCATGCGATCGTCCTTGCGGCCGCTGGCTTTAGCTCCCTGGATTGACATGCGAATGCAGCCCCGACTTCGTTGTGTGGCAACCTCGAGGACGCGCAAGAAATGCCGCGCATTCTAGCCATGAAAAGCAGAGCCTCACAACGGATGCGAATATGATCTGACTGCAGATACGCCCGAGAGGAAGCGCTAACAAGGCAGAGTTTCCTAGCGCGGCCCCCCCCCCCCCCCCCCAAGGAGGAAGGGGAAAGCCACGGCCGAGGCAGAGCGAGCCGACGAAGTGGCGGGAATGGAGAGAGCGTGGCAGGATGCCGACAGGGGCGGTTTGGCCCGCGTCGTTCATGAGTCTCGCGTCGACGCTGGAATGTCTGCGGGGTCTCGCCCAAGGAACTTCGAGGATGAGGGCGGGGGCCCGTTTGGTCATCGAGGCGGGGGCGCGCAAGACATGCAATTTGCATTGCGATGCGAGTCTATAGTCAGCTGCCTGCTGACAATGTTTCCACTTTTAGCACTTATTTCAAGAATTTGCGAGTTGCGATCTTGATTGCTTGCCAATCATGTATATAAATGCTGCTGCTAGCAGCGAAAACCATGCCGAATGTTTGAATATAAATTCCGCTGCTAGCGGCGAAACTCACGCGCGTGCTCGCAAGCTGTCGCTGCTAGCGACGAAGGAAAAAGTAAACTTGATGTTGCGTTTAGGAAATACGCAAATCGTTTGCCGTTCGCTCTGTCACGCATGCGGTTCTACACCGTTGCGACGTCCATATTCTTGTTGTCGCGGCGGTAGCCACCGGCTCAACAAGTTGGCTCATTGCCAACTCGGGGCAAGTTCCTTTTAGGCCAGCTCGATATAAGTCGGCTTCTCGCCGGCATTCAGTTCTGCATTCTTGCCGAATGTATTTGCTGTTCTGCTGAAAACCAGGCAGAAATCGAGATCGCGGAGCGACGGTTTGGAGTGGCTCTGCGCGGGGGTGCGTCAAGCATGGGGCGAAAATATGCACGAACAAAAAGTGTCAGACAATTCGTGAGCTCAATTACGTTCGGTGGTATAATATGAGATCAAATTTCTTAACAAACGTCTACTTCGCTGATGAAACTGTCTTGCGTTGCACCCGGGTTTGGGTTTCAGGTGGTGTAATTTACGTCAACTTTGGCATCGCGCGCGTCGCTCTGCTCGAGCAGCCGGAGCGGGGGCAGCGGCCATGTTGCTTGCATGTCTTGAGTGCAATGCGAGGACAAGGGGAAAAGTGAAAAGAAAAAAGGTAATCACATGGAGAATTCTCTCGGCCGTAAGATTGACCGCAATTTGTGTTGTTATCTCAGGATTCAGGAAGAGGGCGTTTACGATTTCGGCATTGTGGATCCCATCCCAGAGAGAGACCCTGAGCACGGCACAAAGAACCAAGGTTTCTTTGACATGTTCAACGCAGCCAAACACGACAAAGAGTTCAAGCAGAACGGAGAAGTGGGTCTACCTAAGGACGTCGTTGAGGATGGGCACGAGCGCGCAGCGCGCGTCATAATGAACGGCGTGAGAAAATCAAGAACAAATACACGCACAAAGGGAGGCCCGCTTCTGACAAGAAAAGACCGCCGACGTCAACAGGTCAAAATGTTGCCCGAAGAAAAGAGACAAGAACGAGAATCGGAGGCCTTTGGGTTACAATGGACATGAAGAAAAGAGGCCAGGAAGGAGCCCTGGATGCAGTTCTTCACCTGGGCGAAACGATGAACTGCGCATGCGCGGGGCATAAGGGGGAAGCGCTGCTACAGTTGAAGAGATCAAGAGTCGTCGTTCGCGATTATGCTGGGGATTGCAATTGCATGTATCACGACTGGGAAGGATCATTGTTCTCTGGAGGTTGCTACCTCGACGGCTTCCATAGGAAACGACGCAAGTGCGACGCGCCCTGGTTTCCAAAGAAAACTCCAAATCCATTTGTAATTCCCAAGCGGCAGAGCAGTTCTGGGCCAAGCTGAACAAATTATTGTTTTTTTACGCAATGCGGAGAGCTCACTACAGCACCCTCCTTCGGCAATATTGCGTTTGGCGCAGCCGCTTCTTCTCGTTCTGGCATGCGCAGGAAGGGCTGCGCTCCAGCAGTCAGCAAAAAGTGGGTTCGCAAAGGCAATTGGACATTTCGTCGCCCGTTTTCGCAGAGAGGAACATCAATATTGTTTGTCTTTACCAGGTGCGCTTACTTGTCTTCGCACGAAGACTTCTTGTCTCCACGCTGGGAATGCTCGTTTGTACAGTAGCAACCGCACGGCTATATAC